AAGGGATACTGAAATCGCAGCCACACACCCAGGCTGCCCCCTGCAGGCGGGTTTATGTAAATCAAACCGTTGGAAATGTGATAGATTCTGCCAGATTCTTTGCCTTCCCTGCAAGAACACCTCATATTCTTAAATAGGAGGCTGACAGAGCTTCCAGCTACTGTTACCCACAGGGTCTGTCAAGGGGTGGAATTTTGTGTGTATATTTTAAAAAAGCTAAATAGTGCTGCTATTTTGTCAGAAGGACAAATTGCGCAGGACCATTTCTCCTGGTCCAGGTGGGTAAGACCCTGTCTGTGAGTTAGACAGACAATACATTCTTTATCCACAAGAAGGCATAGGAGACTTCACTTGATACTCCCCTGTTAAGGTTAATTTTCTCTAGGAGCAGGCATATTGGTCACGGCTCCTTTGGGGCAAGTGACAGAATCAAAACTCAAACCAGCTTAAACCAAAAAAGGAATTCATTCGCTCAGAGGTGACTGGGGAGCTGAAGGGAATGAGGCTGGCAAACAGAGCAGTCACCGCTTTGTCTCCATCTCCTGACTCTGCCTTCCTGTGCTTAGTCTTCATCTTCAGGTGGTCCTTTCCAGCCTGTGGGGAAGAAGTTCCGGCCACTGAAGGCCTGCTGGTATTTGCCGCTGAAGGCCTGCTGGTCTTTGTAGGTGGAGAGTCCCTGGGAGGCGTGGGGGGGGGGGGGGGGGGGCGTGGAGAAAGTCATTCCTCTTTTCCTGCAGTTCCAGCACTGGCCAGAGGCGGCACTGGTAGTCTGGGTAAACCACCAGATCGAGGCATGCTGGAGATGCTGAATGGTCAAAGGCACACAGGACACCTTCCCTGCAGCCAGGTACTGAGCCTGAAGTATATCATTCCGTCCCTACCACCCTGTGAAGTAAGTGTTGTCATTCCTATTTTGCAAGCTAATTTCACATGGTATATTAGTGTGCTAGGGCTGTCCAAACAAAATCCCACGGACGGGGGCGGGGGAGGGGATGGGGGCTTAAACAATGGAAATTTATTTTCTCACAGCCCTGGAGGCTGGAAGTCCAAGCTCAAGGTGCCAACAGAGTTGGTGTCCTCGGAGGCCACCCTCCTGCTGCGTCTTCACGTGGGCTTTCCTCTGTCACCTGGTGTCTCTGTGTGTCCCAGTCTCCTCTTCTTATAGGGGTACCAGGCTAATTGGAGTAGGGCCCACCTGAATGGGGAATGCACATCTCCTCCCCTCCCACTTCTGTCAGACAGAGCAATGCTTCCCATAGTGTGGAATTCAGACTACTGGTGGAAATGTAGATGGATTTAGATGTTACCCAGACCACCATATTTGAAGAGTTACCAATTTATTTGAATTTGTATTAAAAGCCTATCACTGGTCCTTATGAATCCATACTTTCCCTGATGTTGCTTTAAAATAGAAATGTCATGGGGAGCCTGGGTGGCTCAGTTGTTAAGCGTCTGCCTTCGGCTCAGGTCGTGATCCCAGGGTCCTGGGATCAAGCCCCGCGTCGGGGTCCCTGCTCAGCGGGAAGCCTGCTTCTCCCTCTCCCATTCCCCCTGCTTGTGTTCCCTCTCTCGCTCTGTCTCTCTCTGTCAAATAAATAAATAAAATCTAAAAAAAAAAAGAAATGTCAAGTATGAGTCAATTGAGAGAAAAATACCAGGTAAATAGCCTCGTGTAAATGAGGAATCTGATGAAAATTGAGAAGGTTGTGTTTGAGTGACTGAAATTTGGGAAACACTTCTGGTCATGGGCATAGAAGTCACCTTACTTTTGACTCGATTCATCTGCACACTTGGCCCCAATTTGCCCCGAGGACTAACCGTGTGAGAGTGTTTGAGTGTGAGTGTGAGTATGTGTGTGGGGGGGGGAACTGCAGGCCTTTGGTTTCTCCCGCCTATGCTCCTGTACGAGTCATTTTGGACCAGGCTGGGTGAAAAGGCAAGGGGATCCTGGGTGGTAATGAGAGGCTGGCCCTCGTCTTCACAGCTTCGGGATTTTATTTATTGAGAGTCTCCCTCCAGGGCTCTTGAGTGGCTTGACTGCAGCTCATGGCTGTGTATATAAGTAGGTGTTTATCATTGTGTAGGCAAGATTTTTGAGCACCTTGGTGTCTGATGTGAAATGAAGCATTTAAAACTTAATTCCACATGGGGTATTAACAGAGTTGGCATGGTTCTGTGGAGTTAATTACTATGACTTTTAGCAGTGCTTTCCCCTCCTTGAATTTCAAGCCCTCCTTCTCCATGTTTGGCTCTTCGGCAGCCAGCTGCGGCTGCCGACACCTTCCACAGCTTGTCCCCCGTTTCTGCTCCAGGGGCCTGGTGAGGGTGACGGGCCCCAGTGCAGGCGAGCTGGCGGCTTGTCCTGCTCTGCTCAGCTGCTCCGTGGGCCTGTTTCTGCGGCTGCAAAATGCGGCCATTGTATTGACTTTAAGCTCTCACATTCTGTGATTTCTGTGCTCCCTCCCCCTTATGTTCTGCTTTATTTATTTATTTATTTTTTTAAGATTTTATTTATTCATTTGACAGGGAGAGACACAGCGAGAGAAGAAACACAAGCAGGGGGAACGGGAGAGAGAGAAGCAGGCTTCCTGCGGAGCAGGGAGCCCGATGCGGGGCTCGATCCCAGGACGCCGGGACCATGACCTGAGCCGAAGGCAGACGCTTAACGACTGAGCCACCCAGGCACCCCTATGTTCTGCTTTATTAACGTAAGGTTGCCCCCCAGTGTTCAAAAAGGTCATGTGCATGGAGAAAAGTTTCCCTTCTCCAACTTTGGCAAAGCTGGCACCAATGTGGTGGCATTTGTCCCTAAAAGGAAGATGGTTTAGAGCAGCACTTCCCTAACCTCACTATGTGTGTGAATCACCCGGCAGTCTTCTTAAAATACAGATGTGGATTGAGTCGGCCAGGGGTGCGGCATGGGATGCGGCGTATCTCACAAGCTCCCAAGGTGACTCCAGTGCTGCTGGTTGGGGACCACACTCCAAGGAACAAGGCCCAGAGCGATTTTCCCTGCTTCTAGTAGGTTAGCAACCACAGTGCAATCCAGACAATGTCCACAAAGCCTGAATGAATGAGAGGCATTCAGTCTCCCTGCACGTTCTGGACCCTGCCTGCCTTTCTCCTTCTCCTTCTTTTTAGAGTAGGCTCCATGCCCAGTGTGGAGCCCAATGCAGGGCTTGCACTCATGACCCTGAGATCAAGATCAAGACCTGAGCTGAGATCAAGAGTTGGATGCTTAACCATCTGAGCCACCCACCACCCCTTCTAATCTCATTCTCCCCTTCACTCACTCTTCTCTGTCTTCACTGGAACATTCAGTTCCCCAAATACACCGAACTCTCACCAACCACGGTGCCTTTGCACATGCTGTCTCTGTGCTTAGAGAGCTCCCACCCCTACTTCTCCTTTGCGTACTTCGTTTTCATTCTTCAGTGAGTATGTGAAGCGAGCTCCTTTCTGCTCCTCTCTCTGGTACTCCATTTGTTGTCTGTGCAGCAGTTATCTTTGTGTGTCATCTCTTTTCCTGTTACTTACAGTCTGTTCCCTCCTCTAGACCAGAGCTACGTGAGAGCTCACACTGCCTTACTCACTGTTGAATCTTCAGTGCTCCTGCCTCCCCCCAGATGCTCAGTAAGTATTTCCCGGGTGTGTGTGTGTAGGCAGGGAGCAAGGGAGCATTCTTTAGTGTCCTTTTGCACATTTGAGCCACCTGACTGGAGGGGCCATGGTGGGGATAATTCTTAGAAGAATCATCTGATGAGAGGTCAGGAAAGGAGATACTTTTAAGCCACATTTCATCTTCAGAGATGTGAGAAGTGAGATAAGTGTTTATCTTAGGATACAAATAGGAAATACAGTAGAAATAGAGTAAGTCTAACATTTCTTAGAGTTATGTCAAATTCGTTTATGAAACGTTGGATTAAACAAAGGTACTACAGGGCTTTGTGGGATTTTGGTAATGTACACTGTGGGTCTCTAAGGGGAGGGACAGTGACTGTGGCAGGGACACTGTGATTCACTTATCCAGAGGCCCTTCCTTGTCTGCCTGTCTCTTTTCTTTCCCAGCACAGCACTTGCCACCCACTATCGAGGCTCAAAATGCCAAATACTCAACTCCCCAGCCTTCTGTGCAGCAAGGGCATGAACCTATTCCCTAGTTCTGCCAGTGGGACCTGAGAAGTCTACTGAGGACTTCTGGGATAGTTTCCTGATCAAAAGAGACACATAAAGGGAAATTTCTTTCCTGTTTTTTTATGTGGTGGTGTGAAGACACGATACCTGGAGCCACAGCAGCCTTTTGTAAACATGAGGGGTCACATCTCGGGACAAAAGCCACTGTACTGAGGATGGTGGAGTGGAGAGATGTAGAGAACCTGGGCCCCTGATGGCATCATCGAAGTGTTGAACTGATTAGCCCCGCACTTGGATTTCCAGTTGTGCAGGACAATATGGACTCTCATTGTTTAAGTCACTTTTAAGAAGGCGCTCCTTACTTGCAGCTGAAAGCATCCTGACAGCTAAGAGGGGCTAACCTGGTCTCTCTAAGCCCAAACAGGCTGGAATTGGCTTCTGGCTCCATCACTGTAATTATAAGTCCTCTTGAAAGCTGTTTTCTCATCTGTGAGTTATAATTATTCTTATTTCCTCCCTCTTGGGTTGTTACAGAGGCTGACATGACATGATGGGTGTAAAGTCTTCAGTGTAGACCTCAGTACACTGTCAGTACTTAATAATGAACTATTGTTATTATTGTTAGTTTTTGGATCACGGAACCATAGTTGTTGGAATATCCTCCACCATCTTGCAGAACCCCATTCTGCAGGACACAATCTGGGTGATGCTTACCTTGTCAAATTTTCTTAATTTACAGAAGGAGAAACTGAGGCCAAGAGAGAGCTGCTCTCTAGACTCTTTTATTTTGGAAAATGTGCACAGTTCAGCCTCTTCCCATATCACGCATTTCCACTCACATCAGAAACAACAGAAGGACACGGGTCTGGGTTGAAATTATGTGCTTTTATGGGAAACAAAAATACCCAACAACAATAACAAAAGCCCTTCATCTTGCCAAGTTCTCAACCAGTGAAAATGAGGCAGTTTTGATGATTGCGTCTGGCTGGGGACATTTCTAAGGGGTCAGGACAGTTGAAAGACACTGGCCAAAAAGAGAGTTGCAGAGAGGGTTGATGTTTTAAATGAGAGTATATTAGACCTCCTTCTGGCCCCTCATCCTATCACCCTTTCAAGTTACAGTCTCCTTTCAGTTTACAAAGATCCTTCCTGAACTTTGCTCAAATGCAATCTCTTCCAGAAAGTATTCCTTGGTCTGCACCAACTTGCATCTGCTTTCTCAGTAATTTCACAAACACGTTCTCATGCCACCTCCCATCACTTCCTGCCTTGCATCCATCATGTGTGAGTCCATGCCTGACGACACCCAGGGTTAGCAGGCATGCCCCCCAGCCCAGATCCTGTGTTGATCATCTCAGTGTCCCCATCTCCCTCCCCCATTCAGTGCTCAGGATACAGCAGGTGCTCAGCATCGGCAGGTGCTCAGTGAGGGTTTGCTGGATTGGAATCTGTTCTCTATTTGCCACGTTACATCACCAGCCTCTTGAGAGTCCTAATGGTTATTTCCATATTTCCACTTCTTCATCTTCCCCCTATGACCTTAAAATGATCTACATCAAGGCATCTCCAAGAAGGAACAGACCCCACCAAACATCACCAACTGGGGGTCAAAGGTTTGGGGAAAGGAGGAGAGAAGTTAACGTCAAGCTTTCATCCCTGTTCAAGAAGGCAAGAGGGCAGGAAAGCAGCCACCGGGGAAAACCAGGGTGATCATGAGCAGTGTTGGCCACTGCTTCATTTTGGAATTCCATAAGCAGCCATTCTTCCAAAGATTTCCCCTATGAAACACGGCCAACTTTGAAGTGGGAGCTGATGACTGGTGGGGGACTGGTTCAGTTGCCCTTCTAGCTCAGGGACCAGCGGGCATAGACCAGGAAGCTTTCTTTGGGACGTGGCCTGTATTATGTTTAGAGGGGTGTTAGAGGTTGTCTGTCTAGTTGTTCTGTTGGAGCTATGATGGGAACGTTAGCCCTGTGGTGTATTGAGTTGTCAGGCACATAGATCGTAGTAAGGCTGAAGAATACGGGCTGTAATAGTGGGCCTCTCCTCCAAAGTGGGGCGGAAGGGTCAGGAGGTGCTGGGAGCAGTGAGGGCGAGCGGAGGGTTGCAAGAGGTCCTGCAGCTCCAGTGCTAACAGGTGCCCTGCTCTGGCCCCTGCTGCCAGCTCCCATGCCTTCCCTTGTCTCCATGTCGGGGCCAGGCAAAGGGGCCAGTTGGAAGTGGTGGGGGGAAGGGAAGTGCCTTGTCTTCTCCTACCATGAGACTTGGACAAGGGAGAGGTTAGGATCCAGGGCAGAAGGAGGAGGACTGAGGAGCTTCAGAGAGGCCAAGGCCCTAGCCATTTCTGTTTGCTGCTGTATTGAGTAGATCCGAGGCCCCCACGGCGAAGTGCATCACCCCCCAGAGAGCACTGAACTCCTAACTGCGGGAGATGAGAAAATTTTTCACGGGCTCTCAAAGGTGCTCAGTGACTTTGGGAGATCACTGTGGATCCTCCCGTGTGAGGGCCCCTTTGGGGCCAGTAAGGTGTGAAAACTGCATGGTCAGCATCCACCCTGGAGACTGGGGAAGGAGCCGAGAAGCAGAGAGAAGAGAGACTTCTTCAGGCACCTCCTTTAGGAAAGAGAGTTGGACCTTGGGGGACTCAGGTTAGGACAGATGTTTCAGTATAAAAAGGATCCCCAGTAAAAGGATGGGAGTCTCCTCAAATCCCTTCCCAAACCCCAGAGCACTTAGAAAAGATAAAGTAAGGAGCATAAAAATATCTCGATGACGTGGGCTTGCCTGACAGTACAGAAAAGCAAGTCTCATGGCAGGCAGTGTGTCCTGTTACACAAGAGAGGATTATACCGAGCTTCAGGATAGAGATTTTACATATATCTTTATATAAATGCATATATATTTATAGAGCCCCTGCCTAGAACAGCCGGGCCTGCTTCTTCAGTTCGTTCCTCTTCCAGAGGGCCAGCCGGTCAAACTCAGAGATGGTCATGCCGAAGACCTGGTAGAACTCCTCCTGGGACAGGTGGCGCTGAAAAGAGGTGGGAGGGGACAGAGAGGGAACAGCCTGAGGACGACAGGTGGAGGCTGGGGGCAGGTGCGGGCAGAAGCGGACCCTGTGTGTTTCCTCTGGGTGTGCCATGCCTGGCACAGCGTCTGACCTACAGAGGTGTGGGATGAGAAGCTGTGGAATGCAAGACTGTGTGCGTGAATGATTCCTGGAAGGGGCCTCCGTAGCTGGTCTGCAGAGGCCACCCCTGCCCAAGACTCAGGTGGGGCTTCTGCTTCACCCAAGTGCCTCGCTGTGCAACGTGGCTGACCTCACCTGTCTGCATCCTGCTCCTTGCATTCTGTGCCCCGGAGTGTGTACGAATTAATACAATTCTTCCTAACTTTGGGAGTAAAAGGGGGGCATAGCCAAGATTTTAGGGTGTACTTCCTCTTATTAGTGTTTTTACAAACGAGCTGGAAGGCTATTCCTCAGGCCATTCAATGAAAAAAACTGCTGTTCATATTTCTCCACCCACTGAAATGTCATTTCGTTTTTTTCTTACATGAAAACAAATATGCCATATAATGAAACATGGTTCTGCATTCCTTGACAGGTTTTCTCCCTCCTTTCTGCCTGCCCTCCCTCCTGCCCTTCCAAACAGCCTTGAAAGTTGATACATTGTCAAAACCTTTCAGAGTTAGAAAGATATGGCACCTGAAATGTGGCAAAATGTTAACAATTTGTGCATTTAGGTGAATGGTAGAAGGATGTTCATTTTACTCTTCTTGCAACTTCTCTGGCGGTCTGAAATTTTTCAAAATAAAAATTTAAATTATGTTTGAAAGGAGATTTTTGGGTATATATCCTCCCTGAAAACCTCCTGGAATCACTGAGATGACCTGTTCGTAGCAATCATGTTAGCCCACTGAATATTGAAGGAGATTCACGGAGAATTATGTATACAGCCACATGGTGATTAGCCCATTCTCTGGCCTACATGAACTAATATTTTGGCCACATTTCCAGATCTTGAAGCAAAGGTAACTTTGATACTTTTGATAGATATCATTGGTTGCTGGTGGCTTTGAGCTGGTTTTCTAATACCAGGAATCCTTGCATTGCATTTCTGTCATGCCCATGACTATATATATGGTCGCCCCCATTTTCTCACTTAATCCTTCCAACCCCTTGAAAACAAGACATTATTTCTTTCTAATTCAAAGATGAGAAAACCAGAAGTCAAAGAGTTAAAATGACTAACTTGACCAAGAGGGAGGGAGGGAGGGGAGCTGGGTAAGTAGCAGAGTTGAGACCAAAGGCCAGGCCTTCTGCTTGCAAACACAGTGCACTCTTGCTGCCCCCTTGGCCAATCCCATTAAACATTCATAAATAAGTCTTTCTATTATGAAAAATTGCAAAAATACTCAAAGGGGAGAAAATAGCACAATGTACACCCAGGCCCATTACCTAGCTTCAATAGTTATCAAGAGTTTGTCACATTTGCTTCACCTATTGTGTTTTACTGAAGTATTTTAAAGCACACTTTTAGACATCGAATCGATTCCTGCCTCTTTACTGCACCATCATCTCCCCCAGAGATAGCAAAACATACTGGATATTTTCTTAGGTAACCATGAGGGCATGAGCAAACCTAAAAACAATTGACAGTACTTCCTCCCAATTGCCTAATACCTGCCCATAATAAAATTCCCCTAATTGTCTCAAAAATATCTTTTTACAGTTTGGCTGTTTGAATAAGGCTTCAAACAGCATCCACATATCACATTTGGTTATTGGACCCTTTCAGTCTCTCCAGGCCAGACAGTGCCTTCTTTTGTCCATGCTGTCTACTTATCGATATTTGTCTCACTGGCACTCAAGCGAGGGCTGAGAAATGCTGTGGACACGGGGAGTTCTCTTCTCAGCTCTCCACGGTAAAGACTGAGGGGGACTGTCAGTTAGTCTCATCTGTTCTTTTTTTTGTTGCAGGGTGACAGTTACTATTGATTCTCTAGCCCGTTTTCTCTGCTGTGCCCAAAAATCTTTTTCATGAGTTTCGACGCCAAGGAATGGCTGACTCAACTTGCATCCAGGGTCCACTGTAGAACACGCTGGAGGAGACTGAGGCTCCCGGCTCTCCCTCTGTGAAGGACCAGCTGGAGCCTCCTCTCTCTTGCGAGTTCTCAGAGCCCCTAATGTCGGCGTTTTCCCTATGACTCTCTCCACAGACTTGAAAGCATAAAGGTGAAGTGCATGGGCTTTAGAGCCAGGCAGACATAGGTGTGTGACCTTGGACAAGTTACTTCACTCCACTGAGCCTCGATTTCCTCTTCTGGAAAGTGGGAGCATGCTAGCACCTAGCTCCTGGATACAGTGAGGGTGAATGTGATAGTGCAGGTCACGGACAGCGGCCCGCACGTGGGAAGCACTCAGCTGCTGGTCGCTCTCACTCCTGCAATGATCTCTTCATGTGTCTGTCACATGGGGGAGTCTGGTCCTCCTTGCCTTTGATTCCATTTCCTCCTCATCCTCTTCCCTGTGCTCATGTGACGCAGCCACACTCACCACTTGCTGTCCTCACCTGGGTTAGGGCCTTTGCCGTGGTTGTTCCCTCTGCCTGGGATGCTCTTCCTCCTTATATAAGCATGGCTAACTCCCTCTCCTATTTTGAGTTTTTGTTCGCATGTCAGGTACTCAGTGAGATCTGCTCTGACTGCCTGGTTTAACACTGCCGCTTACCTCTCCCTCTAACCCCCAATTCTCTGCTCTCCTTTTACTTCTTCCCTCAGCCCTATTCATTTCCCATGTTCTAGATCATTTATTTACTACTTGTGTCATTTGGGGTCTGTCTCCTCAAGTGAGAATGCCAGCTCCACGAGGGCAGGAGTTCCCGTTTTGTTCACTGATATAGCGCAAGCACCTAGAACAGGACCTAGTCTATATAATAGACTTCCAATAAATATCTTTTGGGTGAAGGACAATCTACACTCTGAGCTCCTTGAGGAGCTCTTCAGTCCCCTCCTTGAACTGGTGCAGGGGGTTGGGCAGTGTTCGTAGCCCTGCGGTCTCGGCTCAGGCTCCATGGTAGACATCCCTGGGAGCCTCTGAAAAATACCAGTGCCTGAGCTCCTTCCCAGACTGAGATTTAATTGGTCTAGGCTGGGGTGCAGTATCAGTATTTTTAAGAAGCTTCTGATTCTTAGGGCAGGTTACGCTTCCCTAGTGGGAGCTTCTGGGTGTCCTGGAGGATATAAAAGGGCAATTGGTCCTCCAGGATGAACCAGGTTTCCATCCCTTCATGCCGGTTCCACTGAGCGGCCCTGGGAGCTGTCCCCTTCAGCACCGGCCGCTACTCGCTGCTAGACTGTAAAGGAGGCCCTTGTTATAAATGTGGGGATAATCACCCGCTTGCTAGGCTGCTAGCCCAGCCTGCTAGAGCTGGAGGGACTCACAGAGCTTCCTGGCTTGCTCACATTCCCCTCCCTCTGCCCCAACCCTTTATTCTGGGCAAATTCCCAGCAGCCAGATGAACGGTGGTCGATACGCTCATCCCAAGGGGTGCTGAGCCTCGTCTCTTAGAAACCTGCATTCGATTCGACAAACATTTTCCAATACTTCCCCTGGTTCAGGCCTCATGGTAGATAGAGGACTGACCATTTCTGTCAGACAGAGGAAATGGATAGCTGGGTGCTCTGATACAAAGGAAGGGGAAGAGGTGCTTGATCTACAGTCTGGACACAGGGTTGGGAGAGGCTGGAGGAGGGGTGAGGGACACATCCTGGGAAGGTCTGGGGGGCCCTGGGACACAGGCATCACTCCAGGGAGGCCCTAAGGCGTGAGGAGGCAGGCAAGATGGGAAGGGCATTCTAAGAGAGGGAGAGGCAGGGAGAAGCACCGTAGAAAGGGCAGAGGGTGCTCCAGGATCGGGGGCCCAGGGACTGGAACTCCAGGCCAAGTGGAGTGGACTGCTGGAAAGCCCAATGCTGTGCTCAGCCCTGCCTCTGCTTTATTGATGCTGTCCCGCTCATCATGATGCTCTCTTTCCCCTCTCCACCCATCCAAACCTGCTCCTTTGAAGTCTGTGCACCCAGGATAGTGCCAGACTCTGTGCCGAGGCCTCTGTGGGTAGTGCCTCATTCGCGTCCATTGGCACCTTGAAGGAAACACAATTGCCCCACTCCACAGAGGAAAAAACTAAGGTTTGGAGAGGTTGTTCCTTGGCCAAGATGGCTGTCTAGGGACGGCAGGACCAGGGCTGGACCTGGAGTCTGATGTGAGACCACCTTATGCTTTTACCTTCTACACAGTGCTGACTCCCCCGTGCTCCCCACAAGGAGCACCAGTTTTCTGTACCATCCCACAGAAAACCAGTGCTGTGTTTCTTCTTATCAACCAGACTGCAGGCCCCTGCCGGCAGGGACCAAATCTAGCTCTTGTCTTAAGTCTACAAAAGCATCAGGTGGGGACACGCCGGAGCTGTGCACCACAGATGCTAACTGAATTGAGAAGGCAGCACAGCAATGTTTAGTCTTAGGCTAAAGAAACCAGGTTGGCGTCTCTGCTTTTCCCACAAGGATGTGACCTTAAAGTTCTTCATTCTACCTGCCCTCCCGAGCTGGGTTACATCAGGCAACTTCTGGAACCTCTTCAAACCCAAAAGCTCCTGCTCAGTTTTCTAGACTCACCTCTAAACGTGTCCGGTCCACATCCTTGGGCAGCCGATTTCTTCCTCTTGTGGTCACCAGCAGCAGCTCATAAGGGTAGATCTGGGGAGAGAGGATGGGGTGGGGGTGAGGCACCAGGCTGGCTGAAGGTGGTGGGCTTGTCCCTCCAGCCACATTTTGTGTCTGGGCACCTCCTCTCCCCAGACAGGGCCAGAGATGAAAGTCTGGAGGAAGGGCTGCGTCTATTCTCCTTGGGGGTGCCTGGAGGCCTCAAAGTACCTTCTCCCCAAAGGCAAAACCCGAGTCCCCTAATACTGCTAGGAATGAGCTTGGTGGCATTTGACATTAATGTGGCCTAAGGCCTCCTAATTGTAAATGTCTAATGTCTGATGATTGGCAAGCCTCCAGAAAGTCTCTGAGTCCCACAGGGAATTGTCTGATTTTAGTGGGCAAGAGACATAGGGCAGAATTCAGGGAAAGGAGGCCAAGGAGGGACTGGAAATGCTGGTCTGAAGAGGACCCTTGATGTTATTTATTTGATGGTCCATTTCCTGTGTAGACAGTGCTGTCATCTTCCTGCTGGGTCCCAATGTAGCAGCATCCGGGGTCTCAGAGACCCCCAGAGTCTCTGTGTCTCCTTTACCTTGTACTCTGTGGAGAGACAAGAGAGACACACAAAATGGAAATACATTGGTTTTTGCTTTACACCACTACACCAGCCTCTGTCTTAGAGACTCTGTCTTTGTCGAATTCACCCCGAATCAAGGCTGGTACAAGCACAATGGATGGCTGGAGATAGGGGTTGGGCTGACCCAGAGATAGCGTCTTAGACGAAGAATGACTTTCGTGATAATTAGAATAGTAATAAGAAGAATCTGAGATTGTGAAGCACTTGGGCAAGATCCTCCATCCTCCAGAGGAATACCCCAGTGTTGTTTTTTTTTTATGTTATGTTAATCACCAGGCTTGTCCTCCTGCCTGAGCCGGCTTGTACGAGCTGGTGGAGGCGAGCAGGAGAGCATCACTGGCAGAGAGCATGAAGCTCATGGAACGTGTGCTGGGAACAATGTGCATTTGGCTCTGAGTGTTTCCCTCCACCCAGGGCTGGCAGGCAACTCTAGCTCAGCAGTACGACCCTGCAATGGCTCTGGGAACCCAGATGGGACAGATGGCCTGGAGATCACCCAAGGCCAGGGACTTGAGAGGGTGAGGGAAGAGGGGAGGAAAAGGGAGGGAATGGGAAGTGAAAGGGAGTGTGGGAACTCGGGGTTTGGACAGAGCCCAGCGTGGGACCAGAATCTGTAGTGATCGCTGGTGGAAGGTCAAGCCACAGTTATGAGCAGTGCATCCAAAGCTGCTGCGAGTGCCAGGGGAGGCCGGTACTCACCTCGCATGCCCCAGTTGACGGCGTTCATGCTGTCATAGTGGAAGAGGTCTGCACTGGGTGTCTGCAGGGGAGACAGAGCCAGGGCTGGCCTGAGCAAGCTCACTGCTGCCTCCCTGAAGCATTCCCCCACCTCCCCAAAATGGGCCGGGGTGGATGGGACATGGCCCTTCTCAGAGAGCCTCGGTCTCAAGTCAGGGTGACCTAACTCATGGCCACGTCCCTGGTGCCTGGCAGTGGCACGCAGTAGGCACTCGATAAATACTCATTTCTTGGTGAACTGCATTTCATGCTTTCTTTTGCTGCTCTAATACCACTTGTCCTATGAAATCTGCCCTGGCAGCTCTATTTAAAATTGCAAGGGGCTCCTGGGTGGCTCAGTTGGTTGAGCGGCTGTCTTCGGCTCAGGTCATGATCCTGGAGCCCCGGGATAGAGCCACACGGCAAGCTCCCTGCTCATCAGGGAGTCTGCTTCTCCCTCTCCCTCTGCCCCTCCTCCCTGCTCATGCCCTCTCTTTCTCACTCCAGTAAATAAATAAATAAAATCTTAAAAAAAAATAAAATAAAATTGCATGTTGCCCCCTCCCCAAACTGCTAATCCCCCTTATCCTGCTCCACGTTTTCTTTTTTTTTCCCCCTAGCACGTTATTACCTTCTACATTCTCTATAGTGTGACTTGCATACTATTTACTACTTGCTTTCTGTTTCTCTCTACAAGAATAGAAGCTCCAAGGGGCAGGGATCACTGATGTATTCCAAGTACCCGGCGTATATGAAAGCTTTCAATAAATACCTGTTGCATGAGCAAAAGTCATGTCTAGGCTCTGAGAGTGTGGAGCTAATGCTGGAATTGCTAACATCTTGGGGGCAACGGTCCCAGCACAGCCTCTCTTACCCTGTGCAGCCCGTTCCTTCGGTAGGCAGGCAGGGAGGCGGATTTGGAGATGAGGGGATCTGAAAAGAAACAGCCAAACAATTCCCAGAAGCCCCAAGCCAGGGGTCCCTGTCCCGGATGCCGCCTGGCTGCACATGGCCAATACTGTTCCCCGACCCCGTGGGAAGTGGGAAGGGGCAGAGACCACCAGCTCCTCCCCCTGCACTATAGACACGCAACTGACCGTCTCGGGGATGCCTCGCCCGGGCAGAACTCCAGGCCCGCCTGAAGCCCATGTGTGCAGTCTTGTGGCCTCACCCTGCACACATCTATGCTCCTGTGATGAACCCCTGTGTCCTGGCCACAGCTGGCTCTGGACAAAGGCCCTGGGATTTGGATTTGAGCTCAGAGCCCAGACAGGCAGGCTCCCAGGCAGGTGGAAGAGACGCATGTTCTTTCTCTCTGGGATCTATTGGGTATGGCAACCCTGGTTCCAGGACCAAAGATGGAGGTCTATGTCTGACAAACACAACGGGGTGGGCCATTTGAGATCGGGACTGTGCTGGGACATCTCAGCTACAGGGGACCTGCAACCAGCTCGGCCCTGGCTCTCCCAGGACACGACAGTCTGAAGGTAGGGCAGGCAGAACCTACCGCTGTCAGCCAGGTAGTGGGACCGAGGGCCTGCAAGAGAGAAAAGCCAGGTATCAGCGTTCATGGGGACAGATGGACATGGTGGAAAGTTCATGGGGACAGACAGATATGGCTCCCATTCCTGGGCTACCCTAGCTGGTGGAGAGGAGGAGCCTCCTTCACTACCTCCTTTCTCACCAGTCAGTTTCCAGTTGCTGCACCTGCACGGCATCCTCTCTCCCCTGCCCAGCACCTGGTGCAAAGCAGGTGCTCTGTGATATGTGCTGCATAGATGCCATCGAACAGAACCAGACTTCGAGCAGCACTGGTGCACTGCCCAGAGCCCAGAGCCAGGGGCTGAAAACTGCGCCCCTGGGGGGTCAAACAGGGGAACAGGCTCATCAATTTAGCCTGGCTCTGCCATTAATAGATACCTAACTTCTATATGTTACTCAATCGTGATCTGGTCTTCTCATAGTAAAATGGAGTGGGATAGTGTCTCCTTTATGGGGTTATTGTGAAGAATAAGTGACATATAATACCATAAGGTATTAGCACAGTGTCTGACAACACACAAAACCCTCCATAAAACTGGCTTGATCATCTTTACCATCACCACCTTCAGTCTCACCTAAAGTCAAGGTGCAGTATGGGAAAGACGCAACAGCTTATGGCCTTGGAGTCCCTCTGACTTGGGCCTGATCCTGGCTCTTTCATTTACCAGCTTATTGACCTTGGGCAAGTAGTAAGCTCACGTCTCTCATCTATAAAGTGGGTGATAATAATCCCTCTATATTGCCAGTCTTTGTGAGGACCAAGAGTGATAATGTATTTACAAATGTCTGGCACAGAGGGTTATCCATCAAGTATTGAGTTGAGATAGGATTTCCTGGCAGGACTGACTCCCACAGGGGTAAGGAAGGGAGGGAAGCATGTGTTTGTCCAGAAACAGGGAGAAGTTTACAATGAGAGGATCTCTGGGCAGAGTGTTTGCACCAAGCTTCTGCTTGTTTACCTCCTATGATGAGGGGCTCACTACCTCAAGAGCCAGTCCTTCATATCTTCGAGCCATTCAGGCTATTAGAAGACATTTTTCTTTACACTGAGCCTGACTAGAAGTCACAGCTTTCAGATACCCCAAAGGAACAAGTGCCTGCTCATGGCAGAATATGGTCTTACTTAGTGCCCCATACAGCACCTTGCCAAGTCCGTATTCTAGACCCAGGCAAGGCCACAGGAGTTCAGATTCTTTGAGGGAATTGAGAGGAAATGCCCCCAGCCCGGCAGACTTCCAGGGTGGTGCTTACAGCCATTGAGGGACATCTCATAGCCAGCTGTGTGCAGGGCCTCCCGGCTGCTGGTGGAGCTCCGGGGTGGGGTCCAGGGATCCGCGTAGGAGCTGGACCGGGCCTTCATCTCCTCCTTCAGAATCAGGCGGCCGATTCCGCTCTGGAGCTGGGTGTGGGGGAGGAGCAAGATGAAGTGGGAAAGAAGCAGAGAACAGGAAACAGAACAGGCTTGGGACAAAGGCTGGGTGGCCAGATTCCGGGGAACCTCTGTCATTTTCGCCTTTCCAGCATCCCTCCCTCCCTGCAGCCTCCCAGCTTCCTTTGGGACTTCGTCTCTCTTCACAAGTGGTCCTGTGCTCTGGGGAGTGGGAGGTGGGGCTGGTGGAGGGCACCAAAAGCTGGCCCGGCCCACAGCAGGTGGGTGGAAGGCTCCAGCCGGGCCAGGGAGGGCCTTCCTTGGGACTCTGGCTGTTGTTGCTGGCACCCATCTTTTTAAAAACACGTTTTATTGAGGTGAAATTCACATCAGATACAATTAACCACTTTAAAGTAAACGGTTCAGTGGCACTTAGTACAACCACCGCTTCGGTCTAGTTCCAAACAGTTTTTAACTCCTCCCCCAAAAGACCCTGGACCCAGGAAGCAGTCATTCCCTCTCTCCCTCCCCTGCCAGGCCCTGGTATTCACCAGCCTGTGTCTGGCTCTGTGGATTTACCTATTCTGCACATCTCGTATAAATGGAATCATCCAATATGTGGGCTTTTGTGTCTGGCTTCTTTCCCTCAACATAATGTCTTCAAGGTTCGTCCACATGGTGGCCTGTATCAGTCCTTCATTCCTTTTTATGTCTGGGTAACATTCCACTGCATGAATGCACCACATTCTGCTTCTCCACTTGTGAACAGATGGTCATCTGGGTGATTTTCCCTTTTGGTTCTTGTGAGTAGTGCTGCTATGAAGATCATGGACGTGTGCTTGTTTGAGTCCTGGTTTTCAATTCTTCTGGGTAAATATTTCCCCAGGAGTGCAATTGCCGGGTCATAGGGTAAATCTGTGTTTAACTTTCTGAGGAACTTGCAAACTGTTCTCCCTGGTGGCCACACCAGTTTCCACTCCCACCAGCAGTGCACGAAAGCTGCCGGCACCCACTTGCCACCACAACAGAACCTGCACGAGCATGAGGCCAACGCAGCAGCGAGCCAGCACAGGAGAAGAGAGAGACAACTTTCCTGTGGCAGTTTGCTGAGCAGCTGGATCTAGCCATACCTGAAACTCCTCCTACCGTTGGGACTTTTTGGTTATGCAAAGCTACAGGCTTCTTTTTTCTACCATAAGTGGGTTTGAATTTGGTTTCTGTCACTAGCAAATGATCAAACCCTCAGTAACACACTGTCTAGGCATCTCATCCAGGGTGGAGCCTGCTCACCTTATGCATGCTGCGGTCAAAATCGTCCTCCTCTCCTCCAGATGAGAACCTTCTGGCTCGGGGCACTGCCAAAAGACAGCTAGCATCAGCTCCCGCGTGGGCTCTCCACTCAGCCGGCCCCCGGCAGAGGACACAGAGGGACGCAGAGCCTCACAGGCAGGGGTTTCCTCTCGGCCCCAGCACTTCGTAGCCGAGTGGCCCTGAGCGAGTGTACTTTGGTGAACCGCCCCTCCACTGGGGGCCTCCTGTATGGAAAGGCCCAGCAGCCCTTCCCTTTCTTGGGCATGAGGAGCAGGGGAAACTGACTGCCCAAACACGGCTAATGAGCCTCGATGTTGGGACTTTTGCTGTTGCTGGTGGGAGAGAGAAGTCCTCTTTCTGTCCAGGGTAGGATATTAAGCCTAGATGGGCTGCAGCTCATCTTGCCATGACCAGGGCAGGGCCATGCTGAGTACGGAGCCACCCCAGGGACAGGACACGCTCTGATGACGGCGGGCCTTCACCTCTGCATCCAGCTGTGCCTCAAAAACTTTCACTCTCGTGACCCAGAAAATCCCTGTTTTGGCTTAAGTCAATTGGAGGTTTTTTTTGGGTTGTTCTTTTGTGATTGAAACGGTGTAGGATACCTCTTCCCACCACGCCTCCGCCCCAAACACATATATCTCTCAGAGATCTCTGTCTATCTCGGGGTGTAGTTGTGCTTGTTTGTCTTAGCTCCTTTTCCAAATGCAGAATTTTTGGAGGGCAAGGAAGGGACCATCTCCGAGCTCCTGTGAAGCTTTGCTCAGAATGGACATTCAATTAGTAAAGGCTGTGTGCTGACCCAAAAAGGAGCTTGATGAAAATGCATCCCCGTGCTTAAAAGAAACAGCTTGAGATGCCTGACTGGGTGGGATGGCACCCCAAGGACCATGAAGACCCCATCAGGGTGCCTACGAGAGTCTTCCATCTCGCACAAACTGCCTTTTCTATCTTCCAAGCCGCTTTCCACCCCACAGCCAAGATGGTCTCTTAAACCCACACAGCAGATCCTGTCACCTTCAGTGGCTTCCTACGGTTTAGGATAGAGACCCAAATCCTTGCTTCAGTGCACAAGGCCTCGTGGGATCTGGCCCCTCACCCCCCACCTGCTTCCTTTCCTCTCTGGCTCCCGGTTAAGCTGACAGCCTTTCTTTTCCTCCAGGGGAACCTGCCCTCCCACCCCGGGTCTTTGCAGATGTGATTCTATATTCTGCTGGCTTACCTCCGCCCCACTCTTCCTGTGGCAGCGGAGTCTCTGCCTTGAGAAGGTTCTGTCACATTCCAGGCTGGACAGCACGCCCCTGTCATCATCTCCCACCTCCTGTGTCACCTCCTTCCTGCACATCACCTCCACCTCCAGCTGCAGCCTAGGTCTCCTCCACGAGGGCGAGGACCTGCTCTATTTTGCTTCGCAGTGACTCACTCGAGCCCAAGGCTGGCCCTCAGTACATGTTTGCTGAATGAATAAATGAACGACTGTATGAAGGAGGGGCAGCCGTCCTAACCGTGTGTCCCCGGCGCAGGTGACAGGGCTCTGGTCCAGGCTCCTCTGTGGGGTGCATTACCTTTGGGGGACCCATGGTAGGTCCAGAACTCGGACTCTGCAGCATAGTAGGGGTCCGGTGAGTAGGCTGGACTGTACTTGGAAGCCTGGCTGATGTCTTCACTTGTTTTGCTCTTGGTTGCTGTTGACAGATCACCTGCAAAGGACCCAAGGAGAGAGCTTCAGGGAAGCAGAGTGTCCTAGAAGAGTGTGCTGTATACTTTTTACCTGCCTCGGCCAGGCTCCAGCCCAGGGGAGTGAGGACACTTTGAGGCCAGGGTCTGGGACTTGGAGCATCAGAGCTGGAATAGCCCTGAGGCCAAGACCTTCATGTTACAGCTGGGAATCTGGACGCCAGAGAGGGGAAGGGGCTTGCTGAAGACCACACGGCAAGTAGACCAGACTTGGACCAGACCCCAGCTCAGGGCTTCTGCTACCATATCTCATGGACCCCCAGGTCTGCTCCCAAGTGAACACTAAGGCCATGGCTCCTCCAAGTAAGATTAGACAGGTCCCAGGTGATCCCATGCCCTGACCTTCCTTAGCCTCTAAAAGCCTGTCTCGTTTGGGATTTGAGCCATACTTGGGTGGAAATTGCCAAAGCGAGCCATGCGGCCTATCAACTTTCTCCTCGCACTGAAATGCCAAACCTTGCTTCGGGAGACGATATGGCCCAAAGAAAGGAGCACCGGACAGGGAGCCAGCAATGCTGGGTTCTGGCCCCGGCTCTGCCACTTAGCTGTAACAATGGGCACATCCTGTCCCTCTCTGCCTCAGTTTCCTTATCAGTAAGTATCCGAACTGGTCTGCTGGGTCAGGTGCCACCCGGCTTCAAGCTTCCATGACATGGACCATCAGACCTACTGCAGACACAAAACCTTCTGGGGCAGTGACCTTAGCACAGCCTGAAGCCTGGCAAGAGGCTGACTGGGGCCAAGAGAGGGCTGGGGAAACAAGGGGGCCCCTGACATTTCTCAGGAGAGAAGGGACAGTCCCACACCCCGTGCAGCCAGAGCAGCAGAGGGTCCTGGGGTCGGCCCTTTGCCAGCTCCAGCCTGTGCGCCCTCCCCCAGCAGCACTGGCTTCCAAAGCTTCCAAAGCTTGCGGATTCTTAGACTTGATCCTGGGCAGTCCCTCCCGCCCCAACTGATGTCATTCAGCCTTTTCAGGTGCCCGCTTAGCCAGGCAATCTCCCTCCTCCCTAACTCCTCCTGAGCCTGCTCTGGTGCTGCCCCTCAGAGCCCATCTGGAAAATCCCACACAGTCCAGAGGCATTTGAGACTTGAGGGCCTCTTCTGGACAAACTGGCTTTGTCAGGGTCGGTACCTTTCTGTGGCCACTCGGGGTACATGACTTGTCCTCAACAGCCACACAGATATATGCACGTGCACACAGACTCACCTGGAGCCCAGCCTGGGCCCCTCTGAAACTGAGGATGTTTGTCTAAATTGTCAGGTCTTAAGCTAGAGCCATCATTTATATTTGTATGGCCCCTCCGCCAGCTCAGTGAGCTCAGATCCCAGTACTGGGCTGTTTCCACCTGTGTTTCGGTGCTTCTCTGATTCTGCACTCCCCTCTGTTACCCAGGTAGCCTGCAGGCATGGGAGGGCGATACAGGGTAACTTCTGCACCTCTGCATCCTCAAGGCAAAGGGTGTGCTTTGTCAGCTGAGGCTCAGTAAGTGCGTTTGCAAGAAGGAACAGGGGGTCTCAGTGATGCCTGACTTGGTGGTTCTCATACGGAGCGCAGGTAGGAATCATGAATGAGGCCAGTTACCGTGTAGATTCCTAGGTCACACTCCCAGTTTTTCTAATAAGGAAGTCTAGGGCAGGGGAGGGGCCAGGGCACCTGCTTTTTAAATAAGTCTCTCAGGTACAGGGGTTCCATAGACCATTCTCAAAGAAACACTGAAGGAATGAATGGAAGAATGAAGGCACCCTCATCGAAGCCCTGCTCCTTTCTCATCCACATCTCCTCCCCAAGCCTTCATTTACTCTCATGACACCATGACGGAGAATAGCTTAGAGCAGTGGTTTCTAAGCTGGGCCGGGCTTTGGAATCACCTGAGAAACTGTTACAAACACAAAATTGCGATGCAGTAGGTCTGGGGCGGGGTGCAGGAATCTGAATGTATCCCCCATGATTCTAATGACCGTCGAAATTTGAGCATCCATGCCTTGGAGTACTCCCAGTAGTCTGTGCATTTGACAAGCGTTACTCTGCCCGTGGAATTTAGGACACCAGACAGCAGGGAAGGGGGGTTGGAAAGGAGGTGGGAAAATATTTAGGTGACACGAGGCCTTCCTTGCTCTTTTGAAGTGACACCAAACTCCTCCCCAGTGTCACCGCAAGTGATTGGGGGGTAGCCACCAAGAAAGACCGAATTGCAGCCTTGCATGTGTCCCTCCTGGTGGCCCCTGTAGACCATCGGCACAGATGGTTAAAGGCCCCACCCCCTGTCTGGCCACGCCCTCTCTGCCCGGACCGTACCATGCCGTTTGTAGATCGGGGGTTTCCGGTAGATGTTACTTTCTCCAGCTGCCAGGCAGACAAGGAAGGGACCATGGGGAGGAGAGAGAGAGAGAGAGAGAGAGAGAGAGAGAGAGAGAGAGAGAAAGAAGGAGACAGCGGTTGGTCAGCTGATCTCAGAAAGAGAGGCAGTCAGCATCTTTCCCGAGGGTCCACCATCTTTTCCTGGTGGACATGCTCTTCCAAAACTCAACTTCCCACCTCAACCCGTGAGGTTCTAAGAAAGGTGAGAGGAGAGGAATGGATGGATTCTAACGGTGCTGAGGAAGGGACTCGGGCTTGAATGGTGGGCATGCAGGCACGAGGTGGTGTGTGCTCAGCAGGATCCCATGCAGGAAGGTGCCCCCTGCCTCCACCCAGCAGCCACGCCTCATTCCACATGGAAGTCCCCAGAATGCTGCAGCCGCCGGTTCAGCATGATCCGCCCCTCACTCCCTCAAAAATAGACAGGATGGGACCTTTCTGGGGCAGTTGAGAAAGGTATAGATGAAACAGCAGGATGAGTTCCTGGGGAAAAGCGAGTGGGGAGTAAAATCTGAGCTCAGAGTTGGGAGACCCGGTTCCAGGTCCGGCTCTGCTGAACTCAGGGTGAGACCCTGTCTAAACCATCTACAATGTCACCTAGCCCCTGCCTTCCTCTTACCTCCTATCACGCCCCCTCCTGCTCACCACTTCCAGCCACTGTGGACTGCTACCAGTTCTGTGTTTTAGGGCCTTTGCACTTGCTATGCCCTCTGCCCAGGATATTTTCCCTAGGATCTTCACATGGCTGGCTCCTTCTCATCTTTTGACCTCAATGTCGCCTCCTCCAAGAAGCCCTTCCTGACCACCCCTACCTAGCCCAGCCTCCCCCACCCAGTCACTCCATCACAATGCCCTGTTTTATTATGTTTACTGCACATATCATTTACCTGAAATTACCCTTTTACTGGTTTGCGTACTCATTGATTAACTTTCTCCCCATGTATAAACACCATGAAGGCAGGATCTGGGCTAGTTTGAGCACATACGCAACCTCAGGGCGGAGAACAGTGCCTGGCTGTACAGAGAGAACAACAGAAAGGCTCAGGGAAGTTCAGGAACCAGCCCGAGGCCACAGGCTTCTAAGTGGTGGAATTGGGATTCGGTCCCAAGAGTTGTGATGCAAAAGTGCGTGACTTTCAGCACGCTTACTGCCGCATGCCATCAGGGCCCTCAGACATCTGAGGCACTTCTCCGGCTGCTTCCTGGCGGGCTTGATCAGGGCGGGCTGTGTCAGGTGGGTGGACTAAGGCCCACGGGCGTGTCGGGACTGCAGGGCGGGTTAGTGTGGGGGACTGGTTAGGGAGGGTCCCTCGCTGCCGGTGCCGGCGCCCAGCGACCCCACGGAGCATGCACCCATGCCCGGGACTGTGGGCTGGCAGCCTACCTGGGATGTGAAAGTGCTTGGGAGCCTGGTAAGAGGTCGGAGTGGAGGACCTCACATCTAACTGGCTATGGTATGGAGAGCTCCGGCCACTCTCGGGCCCTGGAGCGCGCAGGCAGTGGTCCCCAGAGAGAACAGAGGCACAGAGAAAACAGGCATTACCGCGGTGGCACTGAAGGCAGCAGTGACATGACGACAGCAGGGATGGTAGGAAGGGGCTGTGCTCTCATGCACTGTGTCTGCACCAACAGGCTCGACCCGCCTTTCTGGCCTCACCCCGGCGTCAGAGTTCGTAGGTGGTAAGCATCAACTCCACCGGGCTTCAGGGAGGTGTCTTTGGACCCCTTGGCTCCCCACCACCCTCTCAATTGCTGCTTTTGTCCACCCAAGCATCTGCTTCACCCCTAACCTCCAGGCGGCTGTGGATGACCTGACCGGAGCGGGTAAGGCTGGGCCTGTTTCTGGTCCTCTGGCCCTCTGGCGGGGGCAGGCCAAAGGACACGGACAGAGGAGTCTTCTTCCAGCCCGGGCTGCTGGGCTGCCTGCCACCCTCCTCTCTTGGCAGCTTACCACCCATCTTCTTGCTGCTTCTCAGCTCCACGTGCCCCTTCTCTCCCCCAGCCAGGGGCATGTCAGTTAGGCCCAGCTGGTGACCTGGGTGGTCACAGGTCTCCAGAGGGCCCTGCTGTGACGGAGATCCGGGGGGAAGCCCTGGGCTGTCTCTGCAGCTGGCGACAGCCAGCCATTGCATGGTCCCCCTGGCTCTTCCTGTTCCTTTGGGGGCTTCCCCCTTCCTTACCAGAGCGGTAGTAGTGGTGAGGCGAGCGGGAAAAGGTGGGGGACATGCCCTGCCGGCTGTAGGTGGGGGAGTCGATGTATCCTGGGCTGGAGGCCCTTCTCTGTCGGAGGTCCAGGTTCTCGTAGATGTCCTGGGGGAGGAAACAGGCCATGAGCCAGGCGGGCAATTAAGCAGGCCTGTGGCCCAAGGGTCTAGCGGGCAGGTGGGGGAGTGAGGTGGAATCCAGGATTCTAGGGGGCTGAGGATCCAAATTCATGGTGCTGCCCTTCTGAATACCGAGGCCCCCTCCCTGGGTTACACACATAAACTGCAGACAATCTTGGGGGCCTTCACCCATCACTCAGTCCCTTGAATAGAACCCGTGGGTCGGGCGCCTGGAATCCTGGCCAAGGATCCCAGGAGCATCAGGGAGGCTCCCTTTGGGTAGAAAAGGCACATCCTCTACCATTTAGCTACAGCCACTTCCTCCAGGTTGTGCTCCTAAGTGTCCCGTCTGTGCCCTGGTCGGGGAGCACCCTGGGGAGCTGGGGTGGGGGAGTGAAACCAGGGGTCTGCTACGGCCAGCATAAAGGGACACAATTACAGAAAAGGTCTCCCCGAACCAGCTCAATTACCTGGGAGTAGGGAGATAATGTTCCCAGCGACTTAGAAGCGAAGAGTTTGAAGGCCATCGTGGAAGAGGCAGAGGAGAGAGAGGAGGGAGAGAGGGAGAGAGGGAGAGGGGTTAGGTAGCTGAGCGGAGAGCAGGCCTGTAGCTGCTCCAGGGGCCTCCCTCCCCAGACAGCAGCCACGCTGAGATCATGCCCTTCGTTTACCAGTGGGAAACCAAGGCCCAGAGAGGGAACGGGGTGGCTTGGGGCCTCTCAGGTACAACGTGGTAGGGTCTTCACTTGGACCCAGGCTTCTGCACCACAAGCTCAGAGCCACTTTATGATACTGCCCTGTCTCTCTACTAGTTCGTGACCCCTCTGTGGTTCATGAGGACAGTGTGCAGGCCCAGAGACCCGAATGTAGGGCCAACCAAGGGCCGGACTGCTGCCATCAATGTGGGAGTTGGGCCGGTGGGTGGTGCGGCAGGCTGGAGGTGGAATGTTCCATCTGCAAAGGGCAGTGGCGGCTCAGCCCCTGGGACACCTGCCCAACAATAACACCGCTCCTTACATTTCCAAGACAAGTCAGAAATGCTGGTTCTTATGTGAAATCTCTGCATGTTTAAATGTTGGCAACTAATTTACATTTTTAAAAGATACTTAGTGAAACAAAACAAATCTGGGAGTTGGCTTTAGCCTGTGGGCCCAGTGTGCTATTTCTGGCTTCAGGAGCATCAGTCTCCACCTGGTCCCCCTGCCCTGGTCCATTTCAGGGGCCAGAGCCCCGGGACTCTCAGCACTGGGCTTTCCAACCAAATGAACCCTAATTCCTTTAGAGAGGAAAGGGACAGTGGTGGGGTGGGGACAAGAGCCTGGGTCCCTGCTCCCCAGGCCAGGGCTCCTTCTTTCAACAATCTTCGCTCCGGGGCCCTGAATGGGGTTAGGACTCGCCTGAGATATAGGCGGCCAGGACCTTCAGGGTAACGGCCACCTGCCTTCTCCAGAGAAGGCTTTCTCTTGTCCAGCAACCATTTAATTCTTTCAAAAGCCATCTGATGCTGAGTTCTTAAAAAGCGTCTCTTGCTTTAAACATAGGGGCTTAAGGTCAGGTGCAAAACCCAGAGAACCTACCTACCAGGGATTGTAAACCTAAATGGCCACTGAGCCTGTCAGGCATGAAAGCCATGGGCTGTGTATAAAATTACTCCACTAGAAGAAAAACAGTAATTCAAGTGATAAGTGGTCACAGGTTCTTGGCTTCAATGCTGGGGTTCTCAGGGGTGGTGGAAACGGGGGAGAACTGGGGAACCCGTGCCCTGCCTATAGGAGGCGCTGCTCCCCCCTCCGGATAGTGGAAATACACCTGCTCTGATTTTTCAAGAAAACCAGATTTTTGGGTGAAATCACTTGATTTTTAAATGTTGACTATAAATTCCAGTTTAAAAGAGTGCAGGGGCTGACACTGTGGAGGCCAAAGTGTCTGTGAGGGGAGTGGCTGGGGACCGTGTGGGCCTTCTCTCCTCCAACAGCCCCGGAGAGAGGGGCAAGACGCCGTACCTCTCCATAGCCACATCTCTCCAGCATCTCGTCGGACGTGTATCTGGAATGAGGCTCGTAGGAAATGAGGTCGGGGCGTTGTACCTCGTAGATGGACTTAACCTTGGGGAGAGCTGCCAGGTCTTTGTAATTAAGGATCTCATTATCCACTTTAGCCTGGGGAAGAGGAAAGGTACAGGAAAGAGGCAGAGAGATAAGAGGGAAAAGAGAGAGGAAACAAAAACCAGGCACAGGGGGAATGAGCTTCTCCAGTTTCCACTAAAAACAGAATATTAGGATGGAAGACGCACAGAATGTTAGAATCAGGCAGGTCTTAGAGGCCATCCTTTCCAACAGGGCTCACACTGGTTGAGCGCATTTTATGTGTGAGGCCATGCACTTTGCAGGTATTGTCTCCTCCAAGTGTCCTGATGCCTCTGTGGAGTCAGTGTCAATGTTATTACTGTTTTCCAGATGGGACTCAGATGGTTCTGCACTTTGCGCCACTTAGCCAGTAGGTTTGAATCCTGTCTGAACTACCCAGCCTGGGTGGGGACTGCCTTCCAACCCCACGCAGGGAGGACATCTTCACTCACAGCGCCTTGAAGGTGATGGAGGTGGTAAAGACAGAATTAATCACAGAGAGTGAAACCCGAGCTAACATTTGGTGAGTACTTCGGATGAGGCAGACTCTGTCTGAAGTCCCTGGTAGGGATAGATACAACTCACGGTGCTACTTAGTGGGGTGCTAATACCATCTTCGTTTCTGAATAAGGAAACAGGCACAGAGAAGTCAATGAACTTGGCCAGGGTCACACAACTAATAAGTAGCACAATCAGAATTCAAGCCCAGCCAGTCTAGCCTGAGGACTTCCTTCCCAGCGGCCCCTACTGGCTTTGCAGTGTGGGGAGCTCACTGTCTTACAGCCGGCAGAGGGCTGCCCTCGGAAAGCAGGCCCCCCACATTGAATTGAGACAAGCCTCTACCTACTACCTGACCTTGGCTGAGTCCAGCCCTCTAGAACAGCATGGATTAAGAGACGGCTTCCCCTTGCATGGGACAGTCCACTTCTCATGGCTCCCGAGGCCCTGTCCTTTCCATGTCTGCACCCTCCAGCTGCTCCCTCTGTGCCTGGCTTCTGCTGTGGTCAACCAGGATCTGTCCCCCCATAACTACTGTGACTTGCAAGGTCCTGACATGAGATAGATTGAGAGGCCACTAGACAGAGACTCCAGGGAAACTGTATTATCCAAATAACATTCTTCCAGTGCCTGGGGGCCCAGGTGAGTCTCAAGGCCAAAACTACTGTAGAGAAAGCAACTTTCATAAAGACCTTACAAGCATTGCTATTCGAAACATATTCCAAGGCCCTTCCACCATTCTGTCCCCGTCCCAGCCCACTCTTGTTTGGACACTGTGCTGTTCATTCTCCATTGCCTCCAGGTCCACCAAGCATTCCTCCTTGCCCTGATTTGGGCTCCGAGGCCCCATGGGCTGCATCAGAAGCTCCCTGGCTTTCAGCTGGGTGGGGCCAGTGGGGGGCACCTGCAGACTGGGGGGTGGTGGAGAGAGAGGCTGGGCACCTGTCCCCTGGCACTGCCCTGGCATGAGCGGCTGTGGTGGGCATGGTGCCCACCTGGGGCTGCCTTTCACAGCTCCAGCTTTTGCCGGACCTTCTCTTCAGGTCGAGGGTGGTGACAGTCCTGCTGCCGTAGACGCTGGATGCCGCACGGTGTCTTGTGGGTCCCCTAACGCAGCCTAGGCCTCTGTAAATGGTCCCTTCACAAAACCGTCTTCAGTAAAACTCTCAGAAGTGTGCCATCTCATTTCTGCCAGAGCCTGCCCGGGTCAGGCACCACTTCTGTGCCAATTTGGGCATGTGTGGGCCAAGGGAACCTTATGAGGAAGGTCCCCTTGCTGAAGTAACTGCTGCCTTTTGTCGCGGGATGTTAGGTCTCGACCTTGAGAGCTCTTGGCATCTTGCAAACTTGTCTCGACCCATCAGTATTCCTCTCAGTGGTTTAGTCCAAACCTCAAAAATACTATATGTATATTTCTTCTTATAGCTACTGTGTTTATAGGGTTATAAATGAGCTTTAGATTTAGAGGCACAGTGACTGAACAGAGGCTTCCCAACATAATTAGCCAGGAAGGAAGGAAGAAAACACATGGAGCTGGTCGAAATCAAACCTCCTGAAGATGATTCTAGCAGTCAGTGGGGGGTGGGGCACAGTTTGAAAGAAACTGCCCCCCCTCCAGGTTCATTGATAATTCTATTTTTAATACCAAACCTCAGTATTTATGAAAATCCAACCCAATACTCTACCTCTCTGCGTGTTACTGCATGTCCCGAAAGTGGTCGGATGGTTTCTTCCCTGAGTTTGGAAGCCATGTTTGGAATGGTCTGATTTAAAACACGGCCCACGTGACATGTGCGGTCATTTCCCCAGAGCAGCTGAAGGTGAGGTGGTATAACAGGCAAGACAGGAGAGTACAAGAAGGGAGACACATGCCCTTGGCAGCATTCACGGGTAGCTGAGCCCAGTGTACGAGCCCCCAGTTGGATGGTACAATGGCAGGTGTCCCCAGCTGCTCTTGTTCATCTCTACGGAGCTGACCCTCAGAGGGGCAGTCTTTCTCCAGGACTCCAGGGTGGACATCATTCATCATTAGGGCTAACTTGTTTCACAAAGGTAGCAGGGAAGACCAGCCAGGGATTAAAGGCATCAGAGCGCTGCCATATATGTATCCCAAGTTTGCACATCCTGGTAACTCTCCTGCAGACACGCTCACTTTGTTAATAACCTTCTCCCAGTGTAGGCCCTGAAATTTAGCTCATTAATCCTGCTGTGTCTGGCCCCATTCATAGCACTGAGGGGATAATTGTCTGTTTTTTTTCGGGACAAGAATCTTCAATGAGGATGGCCTGTGATCAAAGTGCTTGTCTTCTGTGGGAGCCGCAAGGCAGTATTGACCATATGGAAGTTGCTGTCAAAGATAACTCTTATGTCTGATTTTCATTTGAACAGAGGAAGAAAGGAAAGGAAACAGCCTCATTAGTGGGCATTATCCAGGGATCAAGGAGGAAACTGGATGTAGATTTGGGGTAAAATTATAATGGAGCAATGGTGGTCAGGGCCCACCCAGGGCTGACTGGTTTGGGGACTGTATCTAGAACTTCTTATCAGGAGCAGTCTTCCTGCTCTAGACCATTCCCCTCCCTCCACCCCTCCACCCAATTTTGGTCTTCTTGGCCCCTCCAGCTTGGGGAAGGCTGGAAGAGTCCACAGTCAGATGGCTCATCTCCTTTGCTCATCTCTGTCCTCCCTGGCTCTGCCTCCCTCACCTGCTTTAACTTACTTCTGTTTCTCTCTCAGGTCTGAGCTTAAATGTTTCCTCCTCAGGATTCTTCTTACAGTTGGCCCTAGACTATCTGTCCCTCTGTCCATCTGCAGCCTCATTAGAGTGCCCTGCACGTTTTCTTCCTAGCACTTACCAGAACTGGGACTGCTTATCCATGGGTTATGTGGATAACACATATTCAATGTCATGAGGTGGTTCACCACCATTTTCCAGCACAGAAGCCAGCACTTAGCCCAGAGGAGACACTTAGCACACATTTGTTGAATGAATGAATGAATGAATGAATGAATGAATGAATGAAATACCCAAAGGACCTCTGAGGTCATCTGACTCAACTCTTGTCCTTTCTGCCATGTCTCTGCAAATGATGAGTGTCTTTGTTTGAATGCCTCTGAGGATGGGAGCTCAGATACATGCCTGTGGTCTTCTCTGTCTCTGAACTCCTTATGTCACTAGAAAGCTCTTCTTTACATTTGCAACTCCTTTATGCCGTGTTTCCATATTCATACGGCTTCTTCTTCCATTCTGCCTTCTTATCACACACCCCTATCTCTACATTGACTTCCCACCCAGTTTCCACTCTGAATACCACTCTGACCCCAGAGTTTTGTCCCACTCTTAGCTCAGTTAAGCAGTGGGAAGGAGGCACATTGCGATGGTTTCAGAGCTCACCAGGGGCTCTTCTGTCTTTGACTTTTCTGTGCTCCTGTTAAACTTGACATTATCCCCGTAGCTCTGTGTTTACTAGGCTCTGTGCTCCATGCGGGCAGGGTCCACGTCCTCCCTGTGCCCCACTGTGTCCCCAGGACTTAGCACAGAGTCTCTAGCACATGACAGACACACACGAGATATTAGTTGGATGAAAACCTGACAGTTGTCTTTGGCTGTCCTTAGAAACTCTTTAGGTAGCAGACCTACGGATAAGAAAGGCCTCTGGCTGGCTGAAAATTGATACATACGCAGATGACTCGGTTGGGTGACCCAATGCTGGATCCAGGGGGTGAGATGGAAGTTTCGGACGTCCGCCTATGCTGTGGGAGAGACCAGACAGAAGGAATGAGAAACTGTACCTCCAGCCGGTGGGGAGGGGAGGAGGGGCGGGGAGGAAGAAGGCAGCTCTGTAGGGAACAGCGACAACACGGTTAAATACACTTGCTGGCTTTCTGTACTTTCTCTTTATTTTCTGCCTTTGTAATCAATGTCTGAGTGTGAATGAAATTGGAAATACACAGAACTTCAGGCTGTTGGACAGAATTTGGATTTGTGGGTTGTTTTTTTGTTTTTTTTTTTTATACATATTTGTAATTGGCCTTTTAGATAGGCATTTATTCATAAAACTTTTCATTTGGGGTTATCCTGCCAATAATGTATTTACTTTAACGGGAATAAAATTGGTTAGTACTCATTCCTTAGCAGTTTGTTTATATAAAATGTACAAGCAGGTTAAACTTCCTGTAATTGCATAAAGTACTGATTCTTTACAGTGTATCCCTTGCAAATTGACATCAGCCTAAGCGATAAACTTAAAAAATGTTTCCCTGAACAATGGCAACGATGCCTTAATGGCTCCCTCGGCAGAAGGAGGGACTATGTCGACCTTCCTGCAAGCTGCGAGAGTGACAGAGTGACGGCATGCTGTAGTCAAAAAGCAAACAGCCTGGGAACTGAGGGCCCCTAGTGAACTATGTGATTTTAGAGATCCCAGATTCCCAATCTGTAAAATGAAGGGGCTGGTCTGAAGGACTGCAAAATTGCTGGAGGATCTCTCAGGCCACAATTTAGAATTAAAGCATTCTACCTGGGGCTCTATAGCAGTGTCCCCTAAACTGTGCATTGTGAACTGGTGCTGATTCTGGCAAGATGAATTTAGGGGGAGCATTTGATGACACTGAGTTGCAAAATGGGAGAGTAAAACATAAAATTGTATTTCATTTCTCTTTGTTAAATCAAGGAGGAAGTCTTAACTTAGTGCTGATGTATTTCAGCAACTTTCTCAACAGCTGTTCATTTCCTTTTTTTTTTTTTTTTTTTTAATAAAGAGAGTAGAGGCAACACCATCTAGCTGGAGTCTCTAAGATTTATTTTTAAGAAACATTTCCTTTTCATTGAATGTATTTTATGGTTACCTTCTATTTATAGCAAGTAATACTGGCTTTCTACTTGGCGATATAAAGTTTTATTTTAAAATAAGTTCCGTTAAGTGAAGAGTAGTGGGTTGACTTAAAGAAGAATATTAAGTATGTAATGATACAGGGGGTGCACAGAGGTGGCAAAAACATCAGGGTTGTAGAAGGATAACTGAATTTGAGAAATGCCACCAAAAAGGTAGAAATTGAGGAAAGAAAGGTCAATTAGGTCTTTTTACATCTTAAATGGAGAGGACTTGGAAGAAACGGGGAAAAAAGCCCTCACGGCTCAAACAAAATTATACATCAATAGACCAGTTCTTCTGCAAAATGTAGAGGCACTTCGGACGTCATCAAGCGCCTGTCCCCAGCATGTACCCAGCTTTCTGCTCCACAGTGTCAAGGACTCAGGAGCGGGGCTCCTCCCAGCCGTCCTTGGATCAAGAACCCGGATTCACAGGACTTCTTGGTACTAGTCAGAGTGCAGTAATTCAGCGGGACGCAGGACCGCAGGTGGCCCAGCGTGTGCCTGGGGACACTGGCCGTGCTCTTGCCAGCTGTATTACTGTAGGCAAATCACCACCCTCTTTAGACTTTGAATTTCTCACCAGCAAAGAGAAGATACAATTCCTTGCCCCATCCGATCCACAGGCTTAAAGAAAGCAAATCCAACAGTGGCTGTGAAGATGCTTTACATACTATCAATTCCTGTATCCACGCTATTATTCCTAATAAATGACGTGAGGCTGGGGAAAACCCCCGGTGTGTCAGCTTCAACGAGGCCTCTTGGTGAGCAACGCTAAGGCGAGAGCCTGGCCCCAGAAATGCTAAAAACTCACAGTTTTACAGTTTTCAAAGTGCTCTCCCATCCAATGTCTTTATCGCCTTAAATGCCCCACGAGGCAGGTGTTAGCATTAAGGAAATCTAAGGATACGGGCACACATCTGGAAGTGTGCATACCAAGGAAAGACTCCCTACTAAAGCACAGTGCCCCCAACCAAGTGGCAAAAAGTGTGGTCTGATATCACTACCAGCTTGCTTACCTTTAACTTCTTCTCTGCCCGGGCTGCCTGTTTGCAGATGGGGTGCCAAACCTCAGAACCTACGGGCCAGCAAAATAACAAAGGCTCAGACCTTTCACATCTAGTAGCTCTCTCGCCACCCCTCACCTCTGTTTACTCCCTCGGCAGCACATCTGCCCTACACAGCAGCCAGGAGGACCCGCCTCCGGTGACCCAGGCTCTATGCTGCTCCATCGATCAACCACTCCCGCTCCTTCTGCCCGTCCAAATCCTACCCATTCCTCAAGGAGGTCCAGATCTCACACGGCATCTTCTTGCAACCTTTCTTACCTGCCAACAGGGAGTGACTTCTCTTTTCTCTGCGGTCCATAGTTCTTTGTATCTTTCTTAACACATATGACCTCAAATCACAGTGGCTTGTGGATTCATGACCCTAACTAAATTAGAAGCTCCTCCAGGCAGGGGCTAAGCTTTATTCATTGCTGGCTCTCCTGTAGCATCCAGCATGGGATTTTGCTCTCAGCAGAGGCCCCATCCATGTTTGTGGGGTGAACAGATGAGTGGATGATTGGCAGTGAGTGACACGTAGCAGGTGGTCAATAAATACTTGTTGAATGAATGAATGGCAGTAGAGGTGAAATAAAGCGACAGACCGTGGTGACCTCCAGCCTTCCTTTCCCTTCAAAGACTTCTGACAGTGTACAAGAGCTGTCATACTGAAGGGGGGAGGTGTCATGATGTATAGTCTGCTTGAGGGCACTGTCTTGAACTGCTAATTCCTAAGAGGCTCCAGACTCTTCAAATTTAGTATATTACAAATGCCTGCATTTTACTGTGTGTGTGTGTGTGTGTTGGGGGGTTGTCCAGTTGGCCAGCCCCAAACTTGAGAGGCCAATTTGGAAAGGCATGAGCAACAGGTGGCTGGTCACATGTTGAGAAGAAGCCCCAAATATTACACATTCCCCAAAGAAGAAACAGGTGTCCTGGATTAGAAGGAAAAGTAGGAACATATTATCCCTCTGGTGCCATTGCTCTGATTACCAGCCCGAAAAGGAAAGGAGCCAGCAAATGGCTGGATTCCTGAGCACCCAGATGGTATTTGTTTGTCTGACTTTGTTTTTAGGATATACTTTCCATTATGGTTTGTTGCCTGGAACCCCCGGGACTGGAATGCTGGCCAAGTGATGGGGGTGGTGGTGTAAAGTTGAAAAATCAGCCCCTGAAACGTGATGCAGAGAGGATAGGCCCGAGGTAAGGAGCATGGGATCTTGTTTCTGGAGCCTGGATTCTTGCCTCTGCTTGGCCCCTAACACATTCTCTCTTGCATCCCGGTTTCTTCATTGGAATAACAATGAGGTGGGATTGAGATAGTCTTGGAGGTTGTTTTTATCTCCAAAAATTTTTTTTTTTTTTTTTGAGAGAATGAGAGACAGAGAGCATGAGAGGGAGGAGGGTCAGAGGGAGAAGCAGACTCCCCGCCGAGTAGGGAGCCCGATGCGGGACTCGATCCCGGGACTCCAGGATCATGACCTGAGCCGAAGGCAGTCGCTTAACCAACTGAGCCACCCAGGTGCCCTCATCTCCAAATTTTTAATTCTAGTCCTAGTTTGTCATTTATGAGATAGATAGGGATCTTTCAGTTTCGTTGGCTGATTTTCTTGTGAGCTCCTAGTAATTCAACATGAGTTTAATGCTTGCTAAGGTAAAGTGCAATGGTTCTCGGAGCCCAGTAGAGGGACTCCAGGACTGCGGCTCCTGCGAGCCTGGCCGTCACAGGGTGTGTCTGCTCCCAAGTGGTGGGTGGGGATCCTTGCTTCGGGGAGTTTTCGAGAGAGCATTTCCGGGTCCCGGGATGCTGCCGAACCCACCAGGAGCTGTTTATCCCCGTGGCTCTGGCAGGAAGCCTATGTCACAGGTCACCGTCGGCAACGGATGAGGGGGATACAGATGTCTAAGAAGGTCGTGAGATGAAGAGAAAGAGGCATATGAAGGGCAAGGGTCAGGCAGAAGTCCTCATGGGGGGGAAATGATGTCTAAAGAGAGGAGGTCAGACTCGATGGTCTCTCCACGCTGCTCACATAATCTGTTCTGAAATAAAGCTGAGCCGCAAATGGCTTCAGCACTCAGCTCACAGGAAAGCAGGTTTATAGAAGAAGTGAGGGGGGAGAATCAAAAGGGAGAAAGAAAATATAATTAGAGATGAAAAGAAATCAGAAGTTTGGGAGTTGGCAGGATAGCATCTAAACTAAAGAGGGAAGGAATCTGTTGGTTGTGAGCAACAGACTTAGGTAAATTAAGGTAAGAAAAGGTGATCTGTTCATGAAGACCCCTAGGAAATGGTGGTTGGCTGAGCTTTTGCACTAGCCACTAGCTCAACGACATGCCACAGACAGACAGCATCCAGAGTGAAGAAGGTCGTTACTCTCTTCCATGCACTTTCTCCCCAGAGCTTAAGATAGCACCTGGCTCAAGTGTGTTTCCTAAAGACATAAATGAATGGCTGGTTGGATCCCACCTCTGTATTTTCTTTTTTTCGAAAAAAGGATTTTATTTATTTACGAGAGAGACAGAGACAGAAAGAGAGAATCTCAGGCAGACTCTGTGCTAGCGTGGAGCCTGACTTGGGGCTCAATCTCAGGACCCTGAAATCATGACCCCAGCTGAAACCAAGTCAGACGCTTAACAGACTGAGCCACCCAGGTGCTCCCACCTCTGTATTTTAAAATGAGACACAGGATGAAAGGCACCCAGAGGATGATGGTAACCAGGATGGAGAGGGGACCTAAAATGAGGCCATAGGGCTGGGTCTTCACCATGGAGAAGAGAAGACTTAGCAGAATAGTGAAAAAGGGTTTTGAGTATTTTAATGCCTCTCTGCGGGAAGAGCAATGAACTTGTTCTGCATGTCTTGTAACATAGAACAAGGACCAAGGGCAGAAGTTTCAGGGAAAGAAAATTCAATGTCTGAGGAGTGAATGGGTCCATTCTGAGAGTGAGCTCCCTGTCCCTGGAAGTATGTAAGTACACATTGGGTGGATACATGCTCAGCAAGGATATTATAGAGGAGACATATAATGAGGTATTTACACTAATGGATGTTTACTTTCCCTCCCAACCCTTGGAGATTCTGTGTTTTCATCTTCACAGATTTCTCTGTATAGAAAAAAATGAATTATTTGCCCCATCCAATGAATTAGCCTGGAATGTAAGTTCTATAAGGAGCGGGATTCACCTCTGTCTTATCTGCAGATATAGCTGCAGGGACTGCAGATTCTCAATAAATACTCATGGAGTGAATGAATAAAACAAAAGAAACATGTTATTCTGTTTTAGGCCAGTTGAGTTCTCCACACTGGGCTCAGCGATTTGGACAAGCAGTACAATCTAGACTCTGATTTGACAGCTACAATTTCAGAGTGAGTTTCTATCAGAATATTCACTAGACTGGGGTCTGTCCAAGTGTGAGCTGTGGCCCAGTTGTCCAGAAGCCTGGTAAAACGCAGATTCCTGGGCTCCCATGGAGCCCCTGAAGTCACCTCCTGGGGGCGGGGCCTGAGAATCTGTGATACTAACAAGCTCCTGGGTGACTTAGGACTCCAAAGTGGAGAACCACGGGGCTGAATACTAGTTAACACTTCAACTTCGTTCCTTTGGAATGTGATGGGATAAAGAAACCAATTGTTTAAGACAGAAGAACATTTTAATTTCTTGTAGGAAGTCAACCCTTTTGTCTGGTTAGACTCCTGGTTCCATGAGTCATACCCTTGTCCTCTGAGACTGTCCTGGACAGTTCCAGGTCCTGTGGTTAAAACCTCCTGTTAAAGTTATGGAGTGAAGGGATTAGCTATTTCCCTGTGAGCTGACTCAGAGGCCAAGATCGGAACCTGCAAAGCTGTCCCTCAGCCGGTGGTAAGGCTCTTCTTAATTCCTAGCAGAGGCAGCATCAGCCTTTTCTCTCCGACTGGTCACAGCACACCCCATATTTTGGGTCATTTTGGGGGGTTCTTTAATGTTTGGGGACCCACCCATCTCTCTGCTGGACCTTGAAGTTCAATTTGCCAACTTTTTTTTTTTTTTTTTGCATTAGCGGAGATTTTAATGCCGAAGCCAGACCTGGCACCACAGTCTTCCAGACCACCCGGCCAGGGTTGCAAACACAACAGTGCCTGAAACCGGCCCACCCAAAGGTTCTATTTGCCCAGCACAGCGTTTTTCAGTATCTGAATGCTTTTAGACCCTGCAGATGACCAGTGACCCTCCCTGCTGTCTGCCTCCCGGCCCTTCTCGTCCGTTTCAGCAGGCATAGCAAACCCGGATGCTAGCCAGGGTGTTCTCTCACAGCAGGTTTCTTCCCTGGATTTCTCTTGACCACAGCACGGTGAGGTTTCTCAAAGTTCTGCCTGTATGTCAGCAGCACAGCCTCTGTGACCTAGACTTGCTAGGAGCTTGGAATGGTTCTTTTAAAATCCCTGCCTGGACAGACAAATGTGCTGTATCCACACAGTGGAAAAGCATTCAGCCATACAAAGGAATGAAACACTGATACATGTGACAACATGGATGGATCTAGAAAACATTATGCTATGCTAAAGCGAAAGAAGCCAGACATAAAAGCCTATGTATTATAGGATTCCGTCTATATGAAATTTCCCAAATGGGCAAACTATAGAGAAAGATAGCAGATTCGAAGTTGCCAGGCTCTACGGGGAGGGGGAATGGGAAGAGTTTAATAGGTATGGGTTTCCTTTTGGGGTGAAAAAAATTTTTTTAAGATTTTATTTATTTGACAGAGAGAGACACATCGAGAGAGGGAACACAAGCAGGGGGAGTGGGAGAGGGAGAAGCAGGCTTCCCGCGGAACGGAGAGCCCGATGCGGGGCTCGACCCTGGGATCATGACCTGAGCCGAAGGCAGAAGCTTAACGACTGAGCTACCCAGGCGCCCTGGGGTGAAAATGTTTTGTAACTAGTTAGAGGTGGTGGTTGTACAGCATTGTTAATATCCTAAAAGCTACTGAATTGTACACTGTAAAATGGTTAATTTTTTTTTTTTTGATACGAGAATTTTACCTCGAACAAAA